TCCACGGGATTGGTTATAAGGGTGGACCTTAAAAAAAGGCTTGGAACTTCCTCTGTATCCTCCCCTTTTGCGTTGTTGGGAAGAAAGGAATGGCTTCCGCGCTTGTTGGATCTTCAGAGCGTTTAACTCACGCCTCGAGTCTTTCGATCTTATCGTCTGCTATCATGGCGTCGATGGTTTGTATGGTATCCTTATCTTCTTGCCTTTCCTGTTGGAGAATACGGTACTCTGTTTCAGCCGATGCTACAACGGCATCAAAGTCCTTGGCTTCAGGCAAGCGTCGTATAGCTTTCCGTATCTAAGGATTCAAGCCTTTGATGGAAAAATCAATCGGCGTTTAGAAGACCGTTGACTAGTCCATCCCTCGAAGGCAAATTTAGTCTTGTTGTAGATCTTCTGAGCAAACTCGGCAACGCTATCCTCCTTGAGTGATGTTTGAAGTTTGTCGCGCAGATCACTTAACAGAGCGTCGCTCTTGAACTTCTTGGCCAAGGCAGTTGTCAGATCCTTCCAGGTCATAGTATCTGCCGCCTCTAGGTTATTGTACTTCATACGTGCGGGACCAAGGTATAGCGGAAATATGACTTTAACAAGGTCGTGCGGGGTCGAAGCGATAGATAAAGTCCGTGTATTCTTCCAAGAATTCTTCAAAGGTACGGTCTCCAGTATCTGTTAACTTGGGCACTCTATTACCCAGAAGCTTACAGGCTTGGTACACAGAAAGTACCTCAAGTGACTGCTCAGGACGAGGAGGGTTGTTTTATTGATCCGTACAAAGATTGCTGCCTTTTTTTCCTTTCTTCCAAACCTCTTCGAAATTCTGCTAAGTTGACTGCTGGTTCTGTTCTTCCATTCTTCTTGGTCTTTCTTGTAGACGCCTTTCACGTTCAGTAATTTCTTTCGGTGAGTCCAGCTTATGAGGGGATGGCGTGAAGGCGAGGTTGGGATTCTTAGTGGAGCGTAGCTTTTGCGCAGAGAGAAGCGAGGATAGGATTGATACCGAAGGAGATACAAAAGAGAATTCGGAAAGGTGTTTTGGCCTTTTAATGAAGGAAGGGATGGATGAGAGGATGGATTAATATGAGTGTATAAGATAACACTGCACTGAAATCACAGTGTTATTGGAGTACTCAGTTGGTCACCGTTAGTGTAGGTGTAGGGCCCTCGATATACAACGATGGGTTGCAGTAACAAGTCTAGCACGGGTATGGTTTGAGGCTAAGGAGGCGTGGCTTGCGGTCTCTGAAACACTAATATTAGATTCGACAAATTTATTTCTGTGTACTATTGAGTCACGTCAGCACGCTGCGCCTCGCCCCCAGTACAAAACCATTGGTGGGACAAGCAGGAGCAAGTGTTACAGGTTGCTTTGTCTTCGCTCGGGGGTGTGGTGTAGGCAGATTTTCAGCAAATTTATATCGCTACGCTATCGCCAACTGTTCGTGATTCGAGGATTTCGCACAGTACAAAGGACATTGGGGGGGGGGGGAGATCATCGAAAGCGCTGCAGCAACTGTTTCGTCCTCACTTGGGAGCACGGTGCAATTAACTTTCCAGCGCATTTGTTGCCTGAGAGACAAAAGCGGCTGCTTGCACTTATCACAAAGGCGCCCTAAGTTGGTCGGCAGCTGTTCGTGAGGATGCATGGTCTAATCGCATTTACAAAGATTCATAAACTGCAACTTTACCGTTATCACTCAATGGATGGCAGAGGGATCCACACTTGTTCGATGGCTACGTGCACATCCCTGTCATTTTCGTAGAATTTCAGCATAGGTAGGCGCCAGACTGAGCGACTATTTTGTTCAGCTGCAAAAGACGCGCAGAATTGATGTTTGCTGCTGCTAAGGCCTGCTTCAGCTGCAGGTCACGCGCAGAATTAACGTTAATTCTGAGCGCCTTTTGCAACTGAACAAAATATTTGCTTAGTCTGGCACCTACCATAGGCATATAGAGGTACTTGAATTTAGCTTGAAGGACATTTTTATAATGATACGCATGACTGTGAACAGGAGGCGCGGAAAGTGGCAAGTTTTGGCGAAAACCTTGCCAGAGCTGTGCAATTTCGGCATTCTCTCCAGTTTTTTCCCCGTGGCACCATCGACAAAATCCTACACGAAGGTGAGAGTATCAAGGTATCTCTGGATTTGTTGGGGAGCAACGAGATAAAGCGATTTTTCAAACGCGAGTTCCAAGAGGGAAGAGAAGCGCGCGAATCTCTTTAGTCTGTCGCCTGGATTTCGCGCAAAAGCAACTAGTGCTAGGTCCTTCTGCTGCTCTTTTACTAGCTCTGGTCAATTCAGAGATGTAGTTCTGAGTGTGAACCGCTCGGTTCGGTGGCTGCACGTGTAAGCCATGGCACGAGGAATAGTTTTGGCCATATCTAAAAGCCTGAAAATTTAGGATCGGATAACGCGAACTACATATTGCAGTAAACGAAAAGCGAGACAAAATTTACTCTACACACAGAATGCTACAAATTCAAGACGCTCAAACGAAATGTGTTCCTAGTGATACCCGCGAATTTGAGCGTTTACCTGACCAGGTTTTCTCTCTCGCTCCGATACAATACCCTTTGGAGCTTTGCTCCTAGTCACCATACATATTGCTCGGCAGTCTCCGCGGTAAAAGATGAGCGAGTGTGACTTCTATCTGCCGTTCCCTCCTACAAATTACAATTAGCAAAGCGCACTATCGACTAATAGCAAAGTCGTGTTATCCGATGATCCGAGAAAAATAACGAAGTAGCAGAGCGTCAGTTGCAGTTCGACCATGGTGGCACATTTTTGCTTATCCGGGATTGCAAAAATATCTCGCCGGAACCTCCATATAACGCTCGAGTTCGCATACACATTACAACTTCATTTACATGGGCTGCCGTCGTGATTCCCAAAAGTAAACATGATGATTCTCAAACCTTCGATTAGATTTTGAATCGATTTCTTTTCTTCTTCCAACAACACCTAGAATTAAAGTAGCCACACCTTTATCTTTGAGCAGCACTAAAAGCCACACGCACAAATACACTGCGATCACGATTACATATGAGGCACCAAATATGTATGAAGTATAGGCATATAAGATATGTGAGGTACAAATACGTGAGAGATAATTGAGATAATTATTACCCGATGACTCATTTCTACACTACTAGCCGCCAGGCTCTTTCGGCGGCGTAAGATGGTGTGCTATTCTTGGGGCGGGGGAGCACTCGCCCTGCAGCCGGATCTCTCTGCTGCAAAGCTAACAATAAGACTCCGCCTCCAGCCTCGGACTGCAAACTTGCACGTCGGTGCATGGAATTTTTTAGCGAGCATCACATTTTCCAACATCTCGCCAGCCACACCCACTTACTCAAATTTGATTTCCCCAAGTAAAAGCTCATCTCCAACAGGAGATCCGTTACTCACGCGTGGAATTTCTCAAATAGAAGCTCACTTCCACCAGAGAAACCCAGTCTAGAAGCTTTCCCTTCTACACGGAAAAGCATGATTTTCCTGAGTAAACGCTCGTCTTCACAGCGAGAGTCAGTTATTCAAGCATTTATCTTCCTATGTGAAACCCAACTCCGGCGAGACCCAGTCACTCAAGTTGTCCCCCAATAAACGCTTTTTTCCATCATCGAGAACCAATTACTCAAGCGACGAGTTACCTCCAGTGGAAGCTCATCTTCGCCAACGAGACCAAGTTACTCATGCATAGAATTCTCAAGTAAACGCTCGTCTCCACCAGCGAAACCCAGTACTCAAAGACGATGTCCTGATTTTGCAGATTCTCGCCTTGGATGATACAGCTGTGGTGAGGTTCTTGGTCACCTCGCCAACTCCAGGCCCACTCCTGCTGCTTGATGTTCTTCCTGCACTGAGAAAAGGTCGGAGGACCTTAGGTCGCGAGGGGAGATACCGACATTTGCAATGAACCGCGCGCCTTCACCGTTTGCGTGCTATCTGTCCGTGTGGGTGGAGCCTATTGGCGTCCCAACTCACAAGGAACCGATACTCGGTGTCCGTGGCCTTTTAAGATGAGATGTATATCATTAGACTCGCCTTGAGACGCTGATTCCAAATCTGACTTCCGTTTCTGCTAATCGCTTCTCCGAAAAAAGTTATAAAGGATTTTCGCGGCAAAGGAGATGTGGTTGGAATGACAAAACCGCCGTTAAGATGTGGTGTAGTGGCTAGTGCAATAGCCTCGCAAGTTATGCAGGTTTAGGTTGGAGTACTTTCGTGTTTTTCAGGTTTGCATTGCCTCAATTAAACTTCTTTTTGGAAGTTGGGCATCTTCGACCGTATTTCTCTTAGGTGACCATTGACGCGAAAATCCTTCATAACTTCTTCTAGAGGAACGATTAGCAGAAATGGAAGTCAGATTCAGAATCAGCGTTCAAAGACGAATGTGATGGTATACGTTTCATCTCGAAAGGCCACGGATATCAAGTAGTTTCCTTGTCAGACATTCGCGGTCAACTCGCGCCGGTAATCCACCCGTTTTGAGGGATTCGCAGGAAAGCGCGTAGACGTGCGCGCGGCAATTTTTTGACGGGTTTTCGGGATTGTCGCGAAAGGAATCACAAAATGATGACTGACTCAGCGAGTAGTTTCGCAATAGTAACTCTAAGCAACTTTACTCTAATTAAGCGTCAGCTATACACCTCATGTTCTTCCACGCCATTCTTATTATCATTTATTTCTTTATCACCTCGTATAACACTCTAACATTTGTTGGTTTTGTCGTATTCAGCTTATTGAATTCAAACCTACCTTCACTTTTACTTCAACTTTTGCAGCGTGGGCATTATTGCTGGAGTCCTCGCTACTTTTTCGCATCAGTATCCAACCACAGATAGTGGTGCCTTGAGGATTTGCGATCCAGCTTGTTGTTGCTTCAGCTATTGTCTTACCAGTATCCTGAACATAACAATATGCATCTATACAGACGCCGTTTTTAGAGTATTGCTGCAAGTTGTGTCCATGCTTTGCTTTTGCAGATATTGTTGCAGTATGGTTCATCCTTTTCTTACAGAATTCTGGAAAAAAACTTTGAAGCTCTGGTAACTGACATGTTGAACATGGAGCAAGCTTTGCACGATATTCCTGTATAGCCTTTCTAGTGCTTGTAGATTTAATACGGCAGTTGCTTCTAAGGTATGCGATAGTGCTTCGAGAATTTTTTGTCCTCCATTGCACCGTACTCTTTCCCCACCATTTAATCCGTTTTCGCACCGTTGCCGTTGAGTTAGAATCTCGCGTTTGGCAATCGCTTCTGTATTGTAGCACTCAGAATCTTTAAATATAACTTTGTCCTAGTGATCATCTCAAAATTTCATTGTTTACAGGTAACTACACCTCCGGGGGGAAGGGGGGATGATGCGCTGACACGGCTTCCCCGCTTATATTCTCTGACATCATTACTGATTGATGAATATCTCTTTGCGGCTGATTCAGCATGGGAACAAGATTTGGGCAAACCATATCGTTCAGCAAGGTAAGATTTCCTCGACACTAAGCTTATGTAAATTCCAATAAGAAGCTGCCCTAAGGCGCTGCTTCGGAATGGTCCATGGGATTTCGAGTTTTAGCTTTCAACAGCACACCTGTTTACTTTCACTGGGTGAAAATTTGCTGGTAGGCAGGTTGGTTTCAGTGCATCCACATAATACTGCTTTTTTTATAGCATATTTTAGGAATGAGGTTATTTTCGCTGCTAGAAAGTCTCGGAATTACCCCTAGAATCGTTATATATGGAGCACCGCTAAAATATTTTTGCGTATTACTCCTGTTTTTAAAAGTTTGTGATAAATGTATGTTGCTTAAAACTGTGTGCACTTATTCAATAAGTGATGTAGGCGAAGTAGAGATGCACGTGAGAAATAACGCTATCCAGCTACATCCGGACAATGTAGTGTGACGCGCTAAAACTGCCGCCTGTCTCTTGCAAAAAGCTTGTCACGCTAAAGCGTTGTCTTGGGCAGCATTGTCCCGGCACATAATGTTGTCTCGGGATTTTGTCGCAAAGCCGATTACTTGTGTCGCGCCATCATTCCGCGCTTACAAAAACTTTGGGCTGCGCAGTCAACAGCGAACGTCTGAGAATGTCCTCTACCCCCGAAATAGTCCTCGAACGGGCGCACGCAATCCAAGCAAGGAGCGCTCGCATGGCTTCGCTTACTCATTCATCGCCCTACCCCTAAAACCGCTCCCGTATTGTGAAACCATTTCGCCCCGTGTGATATAGCTGTGGTGAGGTCTTGGTGATCGCCAACTTCCAGCAAGGCTCTCATGCCATGGCCTCCCGGCTTTCCATTGAAACTCGTTGGGTAAACACCCCAAAACGGTCTTTTCACTGGTGCAAAGTTTATAGAGTTCTACGCGTCGAGAAAGCCTAAAACATGAAGAAAGATGGAAATGCAAAATCTGCTGGGACATTCTGACTTTAAGCGCTTTCCTTTCTACGAGACAGGGAGTATTTTTCCAAATAAATACTCATCTCCCCGGCAAAACCCAGTCACTCGAGCACTTTCATTTTGAAGGCGAAAGCAAGATTAATTTATGGCAAAAGCTTGCCTGCACCAGCGATACCCAATCACACAAATGTCAACCATTTCACAAATCAAAGTGGGTTTCAAAATGAACGCCATCAATTAACTTTTTGGCGAGTTATTCAAATGCTCTTTCTTCTGAGACGTCGCCTCTGACAGCAAAACTCAGGCCCGTAGTAAAGCTCGGTTAGAAGAGATGAACTCCCCTGAGGCCCTTATGTGAGGTTTCGTCAGGTGAAATGACGACCGCCCACTTCCCCATGCTACAAGAATGCAACGTCACCTGACATGTGAGCCTTAGGTCAGGTTCGGCAGGGAGATGATCTCCCTGCCAACATCGGAGATGATCCGAGCGATGATCCCAAAATAGCGTGTTAATGAGGAGATTAAGAGAGATTTTCCGTAAGTTACTTTTGAGTAACTTTCTCATACACGTCAATTCAACATGTCGAACATACTGAGTGAGGAGCCACAGTGCAGGCTGACGATTTTCGACAAGATCTAACAATGCGGCCGCATCCCCTCCGTGGGAGACGGTCAAGAGGCGCAATTTCTTTGGCTGTCACCAACTTAAAACTCTAGTTTAGTGCTATGCGAGTCTTCAAAAATTACCAGATAAACTGCATTAGCTTACTATCTGTTTGAAGTCACCACTTCCTGAGTTTCATGGTTTTTGCTCTGAATCGGACTGAAATATTTACGAATTTGTTCTGAAATGCATTTTCATGAGTTTTTGACCTTCAAAATTGCTGTTTTGAATTTCTATTAGAGCATCAAGATTGAACAGCTCATGCAACTACTTAATATATCTTCTTCTAAATTTCATAAACTTTTAGAAAGTTGCAAAACACTTATTATGTGTTATTTGGTGTCCAGCTGGCAATAAAAATCGCGCCTCTTGACATACACCCTAACGTTAGTACCAATCACGAAGATATGAATGTTTGGCGAACGGATTTTGACTTGTATACTTGGAAAGCTGCGTCTCAATCATATCAATGTGGATGATTGGAATCATCAATCAATGGCTCAAGTGGGCGGAGCTGACTCTCGAAGCCTCAACTGAAGCTTTCCTCAGTTGAGATCGAATGAGGCAGCTTTACTACGGGACTCAGTTTCACGCTTTTTGGTCTACGACAAAAGTTAGATTTTCTCGAAAGCTTGCAGAAGTAAGATTTCCATCGGATTCGCAGTGATTCTCAAAACAGTGCTCCGAAAAGCGTCAAATTCTGGTTTGACGTGAGACCCAGTTACTCTGGCAATATAACTTTCGTAGTAGAGGAAAACAAAATAAAAACGTAAACGCATTCAAAGGAAGAGTTTTCGTCTGAGAACACACTGGAAATGTTGAAACATCTGCATCACCTGCAAAAGACTTAAGTGAATATAACGCACGTAAGACGATGCGGCAACATCCTCGCACGAGGCGAATTTTCATGGTAATGGTCCATAGTATATAGACTCGACCAGAAGAAAAATTTGCCTTTCGTAATGGACGTTGCTAGGACGCATATGAAATTATGTGAATGCGAAAACATCGTCCTGAAACTGTTGCTGTGGTACACCTGATGGTATGCTTACAGTCTGATTTGTGGAATTTGTCCTTAGGCAGAATCTATGCAAAAAAAATTCGAGACGGTTCCGTACATGAAAACATGTCTCGTTTTGAAATGCATGAGGGGCATGTCCGCATCTCGTCTGGCATCTCCTCGTCTACCATCTGCTATCGTGTATGGAAAGTTCAGGAATTCATGCTATCATACGTAGTGATAAGCTTACCCTAAAATTCGTGCAATAAGTCCGGACTTATCTGCAGTTTTAACACGAAAAATCTATGAAAAATCGCCCTCTGCGCCGCCAAAAGTCTTGCGGATAAGTCCTCCTAAATCCTCTATCAGATAAGTCCGCAGCAGATAAGTTCGCCTATCCGGAGCATGAGAAAGCGGACTTATCTGCAGGACTCTTGGCGGCGCGAGGGCGACTTTCGTTGTCAAGGAAGCGGACTTATCTGCTAGGTCTGCTGCGGACTTATCTGATAGGTGGACTTATCTGATAGGCGGACTTATTGTACGGATTTTAGGGTAATAAGAGAGTGTGAAAAATAATGCTACAACGTGGAGGTTCAACAAGATTCTCCTTATATTCGGGGAAAATCCGCAACTCGCCTTTGTAGGAACCTGGAAACTGGTAATACACTTTCATTTCTGCGCTGGTGTTAGGAGTAAATATAAATATGAACTATATGTAGACCCGTGTATATCAAGAGTAGGCCTAGCAAACCTACTCCGTAGGGGGAAAATTCCTTTCCGTCAGCCAAAAGAATGGAAAAAACCTTGTACTTCAGATCCCGCCTACGGCGCCGATAATAGCAAGAACAATGTCAGGGTCCTCAGGGCGCTTTTGGATAAGACAAAAATGGCGTCCGCCCGGAGGACTCCAATGGAGACTGCCTCCTGCTTCGCACCTACAACACCAGGACAGTCTCCGCAAACGCCGACTTCCCTCCTCTACGCTACAGAGCACATCAAATACCACGTCATCGCTCTGCAGGAAACGAAATCCAGGAAGAACGACATGCGACAGATGAGTGGTGCAACCGTATGAGAAGGTTCCATCACGAAACTCTGAAGGCGCTGGCTTTGCTGTCCACCCATTTATCGTCCATCTTGTCGATTCGCATGAGATCCTATCACCTCGACTAGCCATCCTAGGACTACGACCTCCACGTCAGAAGACCATCAGCATCACCAACTGCTAATCTCCAATATCAGCACCCGATGAATCAGTACTAAGTGCTTTCCACGAAGATGTGGAGGAGGACGTCCGCAACGAGTCCTTTTATAAGTTTGTTGTGAGTGACTTCAACGCAAAAATTGGGATGCCACTAGAAAAGGAATATAGGATTGGGAAGTTTGGATATGGGCTCGGAACGAGAGCGGCAACCGTCTCGTTGGGCTTCTCTCTGCCGCACGACTTTTCCATGGAAATTCCATCTTCATGAAGAAAGAACATCGCTGGTGGACATGGGAATCGCCCAACGGAACGACTCACGCGGAGATCGACCACATTCTCACCAACCGAAGGTGGAGCTTGCTTGATATCACAGTAGTTCCATCCTTCTGCAGTGGCTCCGCTTACAGCCTCCTTCGAGCAAAGAGTATTAACGATTTAGTCAAAAGCTGGAAAAGAAGGTCTGCCACAGTGCCGCAAGAAGGAGGAAACTCGATGACGATAACAGCTTGGAAGAGCTCAAATCAAGTTGTGAGTGGCCTATCGAGAAGGACCCAATGTACGACAACGACCGCATTCAAAAGGATTGCGAGCCTGCGGGAATATGCGCCTCAGTGATTTTCGAGAAGAACTTGGAAGGCTTTTCGAGAAAATCAAGGAATTACCCTAAAGCAGATCATGGGGGCAAGATCCGAATGCAACCCATCTCGAGAGACTGATAGCCATCGCCAGTTGCAGAACAACTTTGCAGGAGGAAAGTACAGGCAAGCCAAGATACTGAAAGTAGCTGAAGGAAGGCGAAGTCTTAAGAAGTGTCAAAGAGATGCGAATATCATGTGCCGCGCTGCACTATTAAATGGAGACGGGACCTCGACTTCTTCCCGATATAATATGGGATCGCGAAGAACTTCTACACCAACCTCTTCTGCTCATCAACACCCGTGCCGTGCCCGTTGTTCCCACTGGAGAAGCACCACCACGAATTCTACCTGCTGAAGTGCGCACGGTGACTCAGACCATAAAGAAGGGAAGAGCTAGGAAATTGAAGACGTCCACGGCTCCAGGACGGACTAGATCATCCTCCCCTCGAATTTCTGCGAGCCTAGGACAACGTCTACACAAGATTCTCGCGTCGCACCTAACATTCTACCTTCAGAAGGAAAGGATTCCCAATTAGTGAAGAACGTTCTTCTTTTCGAGGAGGGTGAACGGGAGGATCTTCGGATTTAACGTCCAAAATACCTGCTTAGTGTGCTGTATGAACTTTTCACGAAAAATCTCCGCTCGCATATCTAGGACACTGAAGAAGCCCAACCCCAAGAACAAGCTGGATTTTGCAAAGGATTTAGCTGCATGGGCCACATATAGACGTTCCGAGGGTCATAGAAGTCTCCCGGGAGTACTGATTGCCTCTCGTCCTAACCTTCGTCGACTACGAGAAACCTTTGACAGCGTCGAAACCAACGCCATCCTTTCAGCGCTAGTCGATCAAGAAGTGTACTCAGCGTACGTGAAGACGTTAGCCCACTGCTACAAGGACTGTACAACGACGATGCAGCTGTTCCATCGCTCCCCGACCATCCAATTGGAAAGGGGGTCTGACAAGGCGACACATTCTCGCCGAAGCTGTTCACCGCGGCCTTGCAGTGGGTGATGAAGTCACTGGACTGGGATGAGAGAGGCATACGAGTTAATGAAAGACTCTTGTCGAACTTTCGTTTTGCGAACGATTTCGTTCTTTTTTCGACCAGTATCAATGAAGCAGAGACGTTGCTGGAGGAACTACTATAGAGACATGTATCTCGAGGTTAGATGAACATAGAGAACGACTTGAGGGAAGAACTTGACGGAAGAAGAAGAGCAGCCTGAGCCGCCTTCGGGCACCTGAAGGAATCTAACGACCAACTGACAAACCCACGGTTTCGTGAACAACTTGTTCGACCTAACCGTTCTCGCGGTGCTCTGTTACAGAGCGGAGGTTTGGGCCGACACTGTAGCCACGTCGAAAGCTTTATGGACCACCCACGAAGCCCTTGAGCGCAATCTTCTGAAGATGAGCCGACACCAGTACGGATTTGAGAGGAGTGCCCCCTCTTCGTGATTCAGCTGAATACGTTGTCAAAGCATCGATGGGCAGGTCACATTATGAGGAGAACAGACGACAGATGATGGACACTTAAAACATCAGAGTGGATTCCTCGCGAAGCAAAGGGTCCTCGAGGAAGAACTCCAACAAGGTGGACAGTTGTGTTCAAGAAAGGATGGACCAGCTGAGAAAACAGAAGATACGGTTTTTGCCCCTGGATCTCGTGGACGCAGCCACCGGCGACAACCAAGAAGATCGTGGATGTTTGAAGTGAGGGACAGGGATAAACGGAAACTTCTGTGCTAGGGCCCGCACGTCAAGTGAAGCCGGGCCATCTAAGTATCTAATTGTAAGTAATTAATGACGGCTTCTTGGCTGAAGCAGCAGTCTGCAGAGTTTGACTTTCGGTGGAAATCTGAATCTAATATTGGTAAAACTGCTGCAGATCGCATTTCTATGGGTTTTTAACTCTTAAAATTGTTGTTTCAAGCTCATTTTGAGGGGTGTATCCCATTATTTGTGACAGTCAATTACGCAGCGCCGCGCGCGACAGGCTGGCAGTAATCAGTTGCGAGGAGAGCTCGGGCAGCCGACTCGAAAGGCACACTATTCCATCTTTGGTGAATGTTTTCACACTACTATGTCAAGTGTTATTGTTTAATGGAAGTTTGGCATCAAATCTTGCAAAAATGAAATAGATAGTGAATGGAATTATAGAAATTACCATTTATTTGATGTCAGAATATGTACTTTTTGTTCACAATACTAACGTGACCCCTAAGCATTTCCTCTGAGACATCATCTGGCCCTGCTGCCTCTCGCCCCGGTTACTGTAACGCCGCGTCGCGGCAATTTCTAATTGACACCCACAAGTAAAGGGCGCCCTCCATTTTGAGCCAGTGAAGTATAATCCGTACGAGTATATGGTATTAATTCGTACGACTATAATGGTATATCTGCTTGAAAATTATATATTTTCAGAAGGCACGCGCTCAAAGCTTTATCTTGAATCCGATATTGGTCTGTCAAATGCGCTCGCAACTATCACAAGTAGATTTGTCAGCGTTTTTTACCTTCGAGACATTGGGTAATTAACAGTGATATCTCTGAAAATCACATCGACCTTGGTAAATAAGATACTAATCTTCTCAGTTGTTAGGGCTCCAAAGAGTGAGCTTCTTTGATCATCTCGAATTGTTGACTGTCACAATTTACAGAATACATGTCTTATCACAGGGGCTTTCTTCATACACACTACTTTCGAGTAAGTTTGACACTATTGACTTGAACTGTTGAGTGGATATTGCCTCTGTGAAATTGGAAGTGCTCTTGATAACATTACACAGTCATAAATATTTATTTCTTGACGCCACCAGCTACAATGAAATCGAGATAGAAATTTGATCGCAATTATTCGTTCAAAAAATGGAGAGAGAGAGAGCAACGTCAGAAAACCCAGTGTAGTCGCAAAAGAAAAACTGCTTTCTTTAAGACTGATTAAAGGACAACACAAAGAATTAGGGTATGCCAATGTTACTGTCCGTGCTATGAAAGAAAGCAACACTTGTAGGACAAAGAGTGGGAACAAAATAAGCAAAAATTGCAGAAAAGTGAAGGAAGCACTAGTAATACTTACCCGACTGGAATGTTATCAAGACGACATAAAAAGCAGATTGCGATTAGACTTATCGTTGTTGCACTCATTTACATACAATGCGCTCACAAACATAATATGATCATACGAATACATAACATGCAAGAGTGAAAATATATATGAGTTCAGAGCATTCGCTGATAACAAGAGCTTTATCTACACTTCAGCAATACTTCATTATTTCTTTTTCATCTTCAGATGCGAAAACAATATGCTATTATCCCAATTGAGAATTTGAATCCCGAAATGAAAACTGCCACCGAACTCAGAAGCTGACACGTAAATTCAAAAAGGCTATTTTGCTGCTGTTGCCAGCCAGGGTTTCTTTGGCGATCAGTTCACCTTAGCGTAGGAAGGTGGAGAGAACTTTCTTCGCAAAGCTTTCACTACATATAAAGGCAAACATGATACAAGCGTGATGAGCGTTGTCTTGATGACAAACATCCAAGAAAGCACGAACTGACGATCGAAATATTGGTCCAAAACAATGAGTGACACGGCGTAAAGACTCAGTGACAGAGCCTGAATATAGCTTGCATTAGCGATCAATTAGATTTTTAAATGCGATGAAAAGCAAAACAGATGCCTGCATAATCGATCGGGAAACAATGTACATGAAACTATGTCTTCTACGCGCTCACAAATCCAAAACAATCAAATTGCTAAGCGAAAAGGAAGTTAAAAATGCTTTACCTGTGCTAACAACATAGCCCAATGCCATGTATGGATTGTCATTGCTACCATAATTAGTTCAGTGACTATGAGGGCAGAGAACGAGATAGATACGACATGGATAAAGTCCGCATCGAACACTAACAAAGCTCCATACATTATTACAGCGCCTGAACAAAACACTCAAGAGGCGTAATTAAGACAAAACAACCAACAAACCTTGATACAAGCTGATCATGACCCAAATGCAAAACGTTTTGTACGAAAGTGACCGTCCTTTGCCTAATTCTTTGTAGAGTTCTGGATAAGTGAGAGCGTTGCTGGCGGTAACGTCACGATCAACAACCAAAGAGAATACGGGGAGCATAGTGTACGCAGTTGAATAACTGAAACATTTCCAATTCTGTTCTATAGAAGAGAGGCCATTGGAAGGAAAATTTGAGTGAAAAAAGTCGAGAAAACCGCAAAGACTTACGCGACCATAAGAACACCTTGGTAAAGCGATACAGAGGCGAAGTAAAACACGCATGAAAATATAGCTTGCATGGTAGATATGATGAGACCCCTATGTTATAAAAAGGTGATTCAAGTGTAGCTCTGAAATAAACTTCAAAATACCTGTGCATCACAAACTGAGAAAGCGCGCAAGATCGCTTGTAACAGAATCTTCCATGAACAAGAAGAAGTCGGCAGACGTGCGAGAATTGTGTGATTGAAAAATCAGCAGCGAGCGATGCTTGTTTTCCTAGAAAGGAGGGATAGCTGACGAGGGATAACCAAGAACAACGCATACCTTCATTAGCGTCGATACCAATACCAGCATGAGCGGCTTGGATCATGCTCACGTCGTTTCCTCCATCACCAATGGCAGCTACCCGAAGCGGAGCACGATATTTTCGTAAAAGCTGGACAATCTGCGCTTTTTGTTCGGGTGAACAGCGACAACATACGACAGCGGTGCAACCACAAACCAATTCCGCAACCTATGAGAGGAAGTTATAGAAATTGAAGAAAGGCAACAACAAAGGAAAAACCGCACCTCGGCTTCATAGTATTGTAAGCAGACATTGAGGGCAGAGCCTTGCATTACAAGAGCCACATCACTTTTTCTGGAAAAGGAATTCTGAAAAACCCTTCAAAAGATACTAAATGGTCTATCATACCTCCTCAAAGCATTGAGTTCATTATGTGCTTCCGTTCGGTTCTGGACCGACCCAAAGACATGGACATTATCCGTCCTTGAAAAGAGCCCGCTCGATTTGGCAATGCAGATAGCTGTCTCTAATTTATCTCCGGTCAACATCCAGATCTTGATGCCAGCGTTTCGAAGAAGCTCGAGTGATGTTGTCACTTGGTCCTAAAATCACGACATCAACCATGGGCAAATTACTGCAGAACATCAGCACGAAAAAATGTAAAAAAAAATATGGACAAAAAGATCACCATAAACTTCAAAAAAATCGATAAAGAGAGTGAGAATTCTAGTAGGTAATAACCTGAAGCCTATCCTCAACACCAGTTAGGCAAAGAAGTTGTAGATCTTTCTCAAGCATTCGATTTACACAATTCTGCATATTCTGGGATCGGTCAGTGATGGACATTTTTGCCGTGTGATATGCACGATCAAATGCTTCGAGTTCAGCAGCAGACAGTGAGCGTTTTGCCACAACAAGAGTACGAAGGCCTGCAAGTAAGAGGAAGTCAAAACTCAAAAACTAAAAAACTGCTCAAAAAGTGGACTGATTAGAAACCAAGTAAATCAATTAAGTACCTTCGCGAGCCATATTGCTGCATTCCTCCTCAAGCCAGTCGTTGTACTGTACCATTCCAGCCATGACTGTGTCAGCTCCTTTCATCAGCAAATAAACTTCGTCGGTAGTTTCATCCTAAAACAAAAATCGAGATAAAAACGAAAAGTTAAGAAAAACGCGAATATGCATACCTTCACAACAATGCCCATCCTTTTGGTCTCACTGGTGAATGGAAACACATGAAGAATCTGCAAAAGAGCAAAGTAAACAGGTGTAAACAACAATCATAAGATCATAAAATTAGCAACTACCTGGAAGACCTTAGTCTGCCCGATACTAAGCTGAAGTTGTATAGAATGTAAGTCACGTTGAGCCAATCGTACTCCAACACTTTCCGTCCACTTCACTAGTGCAACCTTGACAGCAATAAATTCATAAAAAAGCAACTTCGCGGGATATAACTCTCACCTCATCAGGGCTCGCAGCTTGGTAGGATACAGAGCCATTTTCAACGATAGGAGTAACATTATGACAAAGTGCAATGGCTTCTACGGCAGACTGCAGCTTAGCGGAGAACGAATGCCTAATATTTGCAGAGGATTAAATTCAAAGAAAAACAGATAGGCTAGAGAGCTCTTAGTCAGGTAAAATTATTACCTTCCCAGTCGACTTGTGTAAGCGCTAGCAACATGATGTGCTACTTCTTCAAAAGCATCAGAACTAAACGCAACTGTGCCCAAGTGTATCTAAAACAAACTCAATAACATGACTACTTTGCAATTCAATCTAACCCACCTTCTTGAAGTGCATTTCGTTCTTCGTCAAAGTTCCAGTCTTATCGGATAACAGAAAAGAGATCCTACCAAGTTCTTCCGGTATGGTTGAGGAACGCACTACAGTGTCGGGTATTTGTTTATCACGTCCAATTTGCCATGCATAGAACAACTAAAATTTAAAAAAATGCACTAACCACTGTTCTTTCCCGGATATACCTAACTGAAACTATGTACATATGCAAAAGATGAACAAAAAGACTGTTACACTGGCATAATAAAAAAACGCAGAACGATACAAATGATAAGTATGGGTTACCTTAGCCATATCAAGGTTGACTCGTAGTGAAATTGGAATGATATATGAAAACAGCAACACAAATCGCATCAAGTATCGATACCAGTTCGCATCAAGCCCTTTCATGACTACCATCACGGATGCGAGGACCATCACGAACACAAACAATAATTTCGTCAAGTTGTTGACCTAAAACGACCTTTTCGAAGAAATACTCAACAGTAAACGAACACAATAACAATGAAAACGAATACAGATTACATACCTCAAGGTCAAGCAAGCCAACTTTGCTCTCTGGTAAGGTTGTGTTCATCACTGATCGAGTTTCTCTTCCAGTATAAACGACTATTCCCACCGCTGTGCCACTAGCAAGCACAGTGTTCGCCCATAGAACATTTTCTACATTCAGGGATCCATCCTGCACTTGGTCTTCAGTGGTCACCTAGACATAACTGCTAGATTTAAGCTTTTCCTATTGAGGAAAAATTATAAAAAGGATTTCAATATTTCGATTCACAAAGTGCTTGACGAACTAAACCGGTTTTGCCAGAATGGTGTGAAGAATGTAACATGAGCAAAGAATGAAAACATAACATCAAAGAGGTGTAGCAGAAATGAATCATTCGTCATGAATTTACCCATTTTCGATGGCCGAACTCGCAGCACGAAAGTATTAAGAGAGACCAACCTTGATTGTGCCAACGAATGCATGTATGTCCTTCTGTGGTTTTTCTGCGTATATTTCGCAATTAATCTCCATTATATCCTGTAAGACAATAAGATAATAGCAAAAACCGAATAGAATACTAAAATCAAACACAACAATAAAACAAAACGAATTTTCATTTTTGGAGACAAAAAAACAGTTCAAGAAAAATAAACAAGAAAAGAAAACCACGTACAGCTTCGTTGTTCGTGTGTTGTGTGAACGGAACAGCAATACGTAATTTCCAGTCAGTTTCTCCATCCAGCTGGTCGGTTCGTATAAAGCAACCTCCAGACTTCTCCGTTGTTCGCAATAACACAACATCAGCAGGAACTCGTCGATCCTTTTCTATTATAATCACATCGCCCACTTCGATATCACTAAAAATCGCGAATTTCTTCAAAACAAAGCAAGGAAGAAAATTTCGTTGATAGTGACATAAAAAGTCAGAGAGTCGTTATACAAAAATCTATTCAGAATCATGCAAATCCTTAAGAAACAAAATCTAAATAACAGGTCAAGTGATGAGTACATGAAAGCCTTCAAGTATACTCAAGAAAGTATGTCTTTTTACGACACTTGCAGTAATTACCATTAATACAGTCACGACTTTATTAATGGTAGTTACTGCAAGTATCGTAAATGAAGACGGGAACAAAAAGCTTCCGAAACAAGGACTTTTCAGCAAGCAGATCACCCACCTACTATTGACTTCTACCCTTGTCCCATCGCGAGTTAGTCGTTCATACTTCTCTCCATTCAACTCCTTGTCTCGTAAAAAGCGTACAAAGTCATCAAGAGCTTCGCGAATTAATGTAATTGTAAGTACAAACCCCTGAAAAAAAACAAATAATCAAAACCTCAACTTCCGAACTTATGCAACTCACAAGCGGACCCCAATAGGTGATAGGTGCACCAATTTGAATGGCTGGTATAAACTGACTGCATGCCATAAGCAAGAAATAAAGGTTGAGGAAGAATTTGAATTGTTGGAAAAGCACCTACAAAAAAGACTCCAGACAATCAATAAATTTTCTTTTTTCAAAAACCTACCAATGGAACAAAGCTGAAAATATTATATTTCTGGTTACAGACTTTGTTCGGTGCAAAAGAGGCACCGTCACCTCCCACAGGGCCGTAGCCAATTCTCACGGTGCGTGAATGTAGTACACGACGTCGACCAAACAGCGCGCGGCAGCATCTGAATCAAATAAGATAATCATATAACTTGGACGAAAACCAATGGAAGATACCCCTGCAGTTTCGAAATTCTAAAATCTTTTCACTCTCTCAGACATGTTAGTTCTAAACCGGAAATGTCGCCATTTTTTTTTATCATTTTTAAGCTCACACTTCCAACACCGATAGTTCTATGCCAACTTTTCTAAGCACTATCGATCGCTCTATAACTTCTGTTTATAGCTACCTACGCTTTTCCAAAAAATAATTATTTCTGAAAGCTGATCAAAGGTCTGACCCAAGATGCCCGACATCTACATTCGATATGATCATCTGACAATATTTTCAATCAAAACCACACATCGTATCTTCCCAAACTTCTGGAACTAAAACTCTCGTGTTTCGAAGCGCAAATGAAGGAAGAAATGACTCTACAAAGAACAAGCGACATATAAAATCAGCCTTGGGAAAATGAGACGAACAAAACCACCAGACCTAGCCCATTTCTATATGTCTGTTCTGAATCTGCAGGGTTCCGGGAAGAATAACCAAACCTAACCTGCACTTATTTGCTTCTTATCGATAAAAATTGATTTTTTTCGTAATTTATTCAAATAACATTCTTTGATACAGCTCAAAAAGTGTAAAATGCATTGATAGTAACTAAAAAAGGAAGTGAGCTCGGAACACATCCCAATGCTCAAAGAAAATTACCCTATCTCTACAAAGCATGCAGAAACTACTCTAATAATAAAGTTCTAGAAACACGTATTTATGAAGTTTAGAGAATTGTTTGACTAGAATTGTTACTGCAAAACAAATCAATTCTTTTGTGAAAAACATCTATGAATCTTTTGCCTTTCGATATGCGTCAGCAGTGCGTCATTACAAAATAATAGAAACACAACAAACTTGCTTGGCATTCAAACAAATTCAGTTTACCAATTATTGATCGCGGAGCATGACTTCGCAATGAATAAGTCTTGGAATGTACAATATAACATGCTTTCGAATGTCGAGAAACTGGAATCGAGCTGGCTGACAAATAGAGAAAGACAACGTCGATTCATGGAACTTCACTTCGCATGCGAAGCGGAAAAGCTTTAAAAACGTTCCGCAATCCAACCTCTACGAAACTAGTAACTGTAGCTATGGATTGTTTTTACTTGTAGTTCATGGTAGATGATGTAATCACGACGCAATGCTACGAATGAGAAAAAATCTAAGCAGCGTCATTTTCTACTTATGGGTCATATAACGAAGGTACTTGGCCTTATTTGGTGTCGACATTGAGAACGGCTACCAAACGTGTAAGGGAAGGAACGAAACAACTTAGGTTATAACTTTGATATTAGTTGATTAACAGCTAAAAACATCTATTACAAAAAAAATTTTCTCTAACCATCTCTATTTTCGCTACCATCAATTATTCAACAAACAAAATTATCACCAACTCACTTCCACTTTCTTCGTTTAATCGATTGTACAGTTATAGTAGATTGTAGACTCGAAGTTCTATGTTGTAAGACATCCAAAGAGACATCAGTTCCCATATCATGCTAGTGACACAGCTGGCGCATTGTCACAATATCAAACAGATATACGAGTGATTCACAACGCAATGCTCGTTCCAGAACACTAACACAACGATTCCTTATGTGATTGCCTTAGAAAAAGCAAATCTGCAAATATAAGGAAGGCACGACATTTGTACAAAACGCGACAATTTTCGGTTTGTTGATGTCGTCAGAGAACAGATGATGCTGCGGTTGACGCAAGCGGATTCAAAACATTTCGTACTCTCGGCGAAAAATAATTCGATTTTCTAGCTTTCAAATCGCGCAAACAATATTTTCACGATAACAACCGGATGACAAAAAAGTGAGACATGAATTCCCGAAAAGGCTCGCAAATCTCAAAACCACAGAGCGAGGTAATAAAATGAGTCACTAAACAAGAGAGTGAGGTCATTGCTCGCCAAGAGCGTCGATGCAGTATCATGAAATGAAGAACACATACCCACGACAGCAGCCGCAGAAAGCAAACCAGTGTAACACTCGAACGAGAGAAATGCAATTACTACTTGATTTGAAGATTTTCATCAGAAAATAAAGAGAATCACGAGATTTATGACGACTTTCCCAAGAAAAATTATTAGGATAGCTAATAAATAATTTCGGGTGCTTTGGCGGTTCGCACAAATTTTGCAGACAAAGTTCTGTCCAATTTTTGATGTCTTTGAGAAAAGCACTTCAATAAATCAGAATAAGAAAGACCGAATAATTTTTTCAATGACGGAAAAAATACACCTCGATTTTCTGTGGGCGTAACCACGGTATGATTTCGTACTTCTATTTACAAAGATTCAATTCGGCATAAAACAATTTTTATTATTGTTCGCTAAGGTAGAGAAGACATGTTTGTGTTCAACCACCAGATTACTCAACTTTACATTCACGAAAGAACGAAAAGAAAACTTGGAAAATCAAAGAACCAAGCTTCTTTTTTTTTTGGGAAACTAGGCAATTCGAAACAGATCTTTCTTTATTGTCAATAACGAATTCTGTATAATTCTAGTGACGATGGAAATTTAGTACTGGCTCCCCACAAAAAAATTAGGGAAGTAACTAAACAACAAAAGGACATTTTTAGAGCTTCCCACGTGAAAACGGGATGACTTTGCAGCCAACTAAAAAATTTCGCAATAAAAAACTAACCCGATGTAAAGTAGATATTCAAAGAAAGAAAGGATAATTTCACAAAGTCAAAAGCATAGTATAGATTCTAGGCAGATTGCATGGGATAGCAGTGAGATGGCTTTACCAAAACAAATGTGAAATCGAACCATGATGTTTGTGGGCTGCAGTTGGGTAAGCAAAAGCCGACTTAGACAGATAGATTGTGACAAAGCCGTTGGATATTTTTAGCTAAACTCATACTTCATATAAATTTTTTTATCCAAAAATGCAAAAATTCGCATCAAGAGTAAATATACAACTTTCACCGAAAGAAATAAAGAAACTTCAATGCTCTTAACAACCAAAAAATCTCAGAAATTGGCGAGTCTGTAACAAAATTTGCGTGACACTGAAGCCAAACTTACAAAGCAGATTATCGGAAGGATCGGAAAGAGTTTTACAGCATGGTAGCCACCAACATTTAGTGACGAATTCATGCGGCACTGTTTGGGAAGTGACTGATTATATGAATAATTTTCGCTAAGATATACAGCGACGAGCGGAAAATGTACAATGAAATCATGCGAAAAATAAAAACCGAGACGAACAACTGTTGCTGTTTGTTAGCGAGAAGAAAAAAAATTAGTTTCAGCTCGAGTGAAGATTGATTTCTAAGCGAGATATTCGATACAATGAGCCAGATTACTATAAAACTCACAGAGAACGCCCAAACAATCATATGCAGTGAAATTTTATTGCAATTTTGTATTTTTATGAAAGTTTCGAAACCAAACCAGCTCGAAATCATCCACTCTTTTTCAGTGGATATACTACGCCGAGGTACAAGTTTTATTACTGCAATTAACGATGATTGACATCTGGAGCGTTAATCATAGGTATACTATGGATAGTGTACGGCTGTTCGTACTCAAGCGTAACCAACAGCAATGGCGGTTTAATTGCCGACTCCTCAATCAATAAAAGTCGAAAGAAAAGAGAAAATACGAAAACCTTTGTAAATTGTGCCATAAAAAGGCTAATAAGAGCTACTTGCCAATCAACTCTAGCACAAACTCCAAACTCATTATACAATCACAAGTTCTCTGCACAAACTTCATCGAACCATACGACTCCTCCCCTCTCAGATTTGAACAGATGTGCAATGTGGGGACGAGTAATATTTGCGCACGATTCATGCGGAAATGCCGATCGAATTGTATTTTCATCGCATTGAATCGACACACACAGAGAGAGCGAGATTTGTTCATCGATTCAGAGCAAGACCGGCGAACGAAAATTGACGTGTGGTTGGAACCGGTGATGCTTGGAGACTGGTTTTAATCCTCTATTAGGTAGCTAGTCATACCATAAAAGTCTCCTTTGTTGTTTATACTATGCTGTAAAGATGCAGTGACGATAAAATGGTCGCAGACAAAGCGTGGCTGGTTTTTCTATAAACTCCGACAATACTATCTCTGTGATTCTCGTGATTTCTGCAATTGCGGAAATTTTTGTGGTTCATGATCACCCGTGGAGCGCAATAATTTCCATTGATATAACAACAATGAACAATGCAGAATAATAAGTTAAACCCAAAAGGCACCGTCTACCCAATGTGAGATGGCTTGATTGATGCCATCAAGATAGCAGGCCCCTAACCGAATAGCTGCCCAATTCTCGCTGCAAAAGGTATATTCCGAAGCGAGAAAATTGCTCCAGAAAGTGGACACTGTTGGGGTCGCCACGCCCATAACGAGGGCTTGCAGATAATGAGCCCGGGATTAGACTCATTCACTACCTAGCAATGTCAAAATCTCTTTTTTACAAGAAATCGATTCTTGACATTTTTAGGTACTATGCAGCTTGATTCCGAGCTCACCAACTTACACCAACCGCGTTTGTTGGGTGTGGCGACCCCAGCAGCATCCACCTTTTAGAAGGATTTTTTGACTTCAGAATACAAGTTTTGCGGCGGGATTTGGGCAGTACTCAGTCCAGGGCCGCTACCTCATCGCATCAAAACCTAAACAATCTCAGGTTTGGGTGGACAAAGCCTTCATCATTTTCTCAATCTAAACTGCTTTTGCCTTTCAGCGCCTCGCTTGTCGGGCTACGAAGTCGGGAGGATGTGCAAAATGTTGGCAGTCTTAAAAATCATTAAAATTCTAAAAAAAGGGGCTTCCGCGCTTCTGGACGATAAACCACAGAGAAATGACCAGGATCACTCGAAAAGTAGGGCCAATTCCTATGCCATGGCAAGAATATCACGCGAAAAGCTTGATAAACTCATACAAACATCCAAGACAAAGCCTGCTAACATACCAAATCAAATTTCACCCCTCCCCCCCCCCCCCCCCCCACAACTCCCCCACGAAAAACGCGCAGTTTTTCCAAATTCCAGAACATCTAACAAGCCAGATGGATGGACACGTGTATAAAGCACCAAAACTGATGAAAACGTGAGCGCAACATTCGTTAGATCGCCGATTACACTCTGCACTTTCACTACTGCGAGAATAAGGGAGCTAAGCGAGAAAAATTGAAAATGCAGCGAAAATTCAACGCATGATCACAAAGAAGTACGCTTTTTTTGCAATCATAAGGAACATGCGACATCTGAACTACCACATGCACACTCAAAAAAAGTTTCTGGCAAGTTTCTCGCAGTAAAACTTGAATCGACGCCGCAAACCCGAGTCACACACCGAAACTATCAATGTAAAAGTACAAGGACGGGAAAACCTCTACTCTGCGGAAATAGGATACGTATAGCTGTGTACATAGGAAAAGCAGTTACACATATGAAATACGAGAGCCATTACTTCTATACCTTTTCTTCGAGAGACCTGCATATAAAACGCGAAGAAATGGCTATCTTGCACTGCAGAACGGAAAAAGAAGTGAATGCGGTACACAGCAATTATTTCGCCTGAGAAATGCTGAACTTGACAAATATAGAAGTTCCCAAAACTGGTTTGAGATACTTTCGAAACGGTAACGAAAAAAAATCGCAAATAAGTTCTACAAGTGGATTTATGGACGGATCAAGTTACTTCGCAGTTACTTTATGCTGAACTCGCACGCATAAATTTGAAGTTATGGTAAAACTTCACTTATTTCTGCATAATCTTGTTTTCATAAAACTGGCCTCGCTGTCAAACCTATGAATCATCGTAAAAAAATTTTTATTCATTTTATATTTGCATGCCCTTTAGGTGTACCAGTACAGTCTGAAAATTACAATTCAACGTGCCAAAAACCAAACAGGATTCGAGAATGAAAAGTAAACAAAAAAGTTCAAACCACTACCTCCTTCAATGAGCCGAATAAAAGAGCTCTGAGTTCCAGAAGGAAGATTGGGGACAAAAGAAAAACAGAGGCAATCTGCTCAGGCTGAAACAAAAAAGCCCTGCAGGACTCGCTGCAATTCAGAATCTTATTTGCATTTCTTTGGCTTTTTCTGTAAAGAACTCTACAGAAGAATTTGCTATAGTTGAAAAAGTTTCCCTATATTTTCATGGTCTTCTATGTTTCTTCAAAAGTGTAGATTTTCTTGAAAAACAGATAAAAACGAGCTCTCGTGATACACATCTAAGAGAATAGCGTAGGCAGAGAAGACCCCCCCCCCCCCCCCAGACTAGCTTCACTTGGTTAACACGAGCTATACAGTAGCAAGTTGCCATGATTACTCAGTTTGAAATTGTGGCAATGTTCACACTTGCAGCGGCACTTAGCAACCGTGTGTCTCTTAGCATTCAATATGTTGCTAGCTAAAACTACGGCTTCTAGTGTGTCTGCATATTAGCAAATACTGCAATTTCATTTAGCAAAACTACGCCTCTGTCAATTTCCAGTAGGTCCTGCTACCCTCGAAGAAAAAACAACGCCAGAGGCAAAGAAGATACAATGCACTTTTGGAAAGTGCAAAAGTGTTGCTATGACAGGCCGGTCACGATTTTGTTGGTATAACAAAGAAATTCAATCGATGGGATGGGAAGCATTTTTCTGATTTGAACACATTTCGCAATATCAGCTGTACTAGCACCGAAAATTTGTTCAACCAACGATTGTGGAAATATGGCTGCATAATCATATGACAACCAACACCATCTCAGATAAACCTTCAGAGTTAGAAAGCGAAAAGATCAATGCGCGAATAATCCAATCTTATTTTGCCAAAACTACGTTTTTCTAGAGCTGAACATTACGCACTGCATATTTTTTGTACAAACACAATTACTGCTACAAACTACCTGATTACAGCGCGTTCTGCGAGCACGATGCGCTTAACCAAAAAACAGTGGTTGCTATATGATGGAGGGAAAATGAAATGCTAATTTTGTAGCCGAAAAAGGATTTGTAAAACATCAAGTTCTGGGGATAAACTAGAGCTACGGAATTGTGAAAAAAATGCGATACATTCATAATTTTGTGACACCTTAGAGGATTATGAAGATGAAGCAGCTGCAAGGAGACAGGAAGTGCTAACACAAAAACGAAAAAAAAGAGAGTGACATCGAGATTTCTAGAACTGTACAGATTCAAAAAGCTCAGGCCTTCGCAGCATATACAGTGACCGCCAAAAAGTTGCGGACAAGCCGCTCTCCTTTTTTCATCGCTCATTTCCAGATGGAAAACAAAGATGAAAAAATGATTTGATTGCATGTGGTGATAGAGCTCATCAAGAGCTACAACCCACACATCGCGCTTTCTGGAAAACATGTATTATAAAAATTTTAAAAATGTTTTTCTGAAAAAAGTCCGAAAATGGACGCGTCACAATTTCGCGGACATTAATTCTTCGAACGCGAAAATTTTCTTTTAGGTCTTTTCTTGGGGCAAAAACAAAAGTTTTCCGGGCAGGTAAGCATAGTATATTGCAGAACTCATCAAGGACAATAATGTGGTAGTGATTACTTTCAAAAAAACTCAAGCTTGAATTTTATTTTGCTTCTTTTCAAAAAATAACTTCTAATTCCCTGTTTCAAGCCAAATTTCTTCACATGGAAACCCATTCAAGACATCCAAACGAAGCTATTCGGATAAAATGGATGCCCTTTATTATCTTCTATGCATCGGATGTGTGCTGGAGAGTTTCTTTGTCAAAAATGGCTCTTGACAGTGCGTGCACATGACCCCACCTGCACCTCACCACTGACTTGCACCGCTTTGCAGGCTTGTAACTCAGCCGGCAGTCAATCTACGAGACTGCAAGTAGGCTCATTCGAAAGAGCATGACTTGCTGGACATGATGGTATGCAAAAGAGTTGGGTATGACAAACAGCGGAGAAATGGCGGATGGGGTGTCAAAGCGCAGCTTCAGTGGTAGGCTAAGGATTTTTCAGCTAAAGTTAGAAAGGACTCCTTTCGCTACCAATTTCATCCTAGGAGTTCAAAACTGTCAATTTTCGTGCAATAGATCCATTTCGGAGCTCTACGACTGTTCTTGTGTTGATGGGAGCCTTCACTCCATTCATCTCCAGTGCTGCGATTTAACACCCCATCCGCCATTTCTCCGCTGTTTGTCATACCCAACTCTTTTGCATACCATCATGTCCAGCAAGTCATGCTCTTTCGAATGAGCCTACTTGCAGTCTCGTAGATTGACTGCCGGCTGAGTTACAAGCCTGCAAAGCGGTGCAAGTCAGTGGTGAGGTGCAGGTGGGGTCATGTGCACACACTGTCAAGAGCCATTTTTGACAAAGAAACTCTCCAGCACACATCCGATGCATAGAAGATAATAAAGGGCATCCATTTTATCCGAATAGCTTCGTTTGGATGTCTTGAATGGGTTTCCATGTGAAGAAATTTGGCTTGAAACAGGGAATTAGAAGTTATTTTTTGAAAAGAAGCAAAATAAAATTCAAGCTTGAGTTTTTTTGAAAGTAATCACTACCACATTATTGTCCTTGATGAGTTCTGCAATATACTATGCTTACCTGCCCGGAAAACTTTTGTTTTTGCCCCAAGAAAAGACCTAAAAGAAAATTTTCGCGTTCGAAGAATTAATGTCCGCGAAATTGTGACGCGTCCATTTTCGGACTTTTTTCAGAAAAACATTTTTAAAATTTTTATAATACATGTTTTCCAGAAAGCGCGATGTGTGGGTTGTAGCTCTTGATGAGCTCTATCACCACATGCAATCAAATCATTTTTTCATCTTTGTTTTCCATCTGGAAATGAGCGATGAAAAAAGGAGAGCGGCTTGTCCGCAACTTTTTGGCGGTCACTGTATAACGAAAAATCAAAGAAGAAAGAACTTGCTGGAACAGCAAGATTCAAGCCATGAAAACTATGTGCCCCTGCACAAGCGTACTACTTTTCAAAAAGTGGAGATCTCATAGAACTTTCATAACAAGGAAATCTCGTAAAAGTATAAGCCGATATTGAAATGCGTGATGACATGACACGTACCAAAACGAGCATGAAAGTACATTGACGAAGAGCGGAATGGAATTTAGTGCATGTGGCAAATACCGTGCCCACTGAGAATGAATTGAATCGATTTTCGGTAGCAATGTTTCAAGCGCAAAAAGATTCATAAAGCTAGTCGATGTCGATTAATGTGAAACAGGGGCAAGCTGTCACTTCCACACACTACCGAGGCTTCTAAAAAGAATGTGAGATGCTAGGAAGATAAAGGGAAAAAACTTTAGAGTGTAGATGTATATCCACCTTCCAAGAACTTAACAAAACGTAAAATGCACAAAGGTTCAACTGCGGTGCAAACACCAAAAAATTCAAGCTTTCTTTGATTAACTAGAATGAGCAGACCAGTAACAGAACTTCATTTCTTCTCTTGTGAATAATAGATTGTAGTGTTACGAAAAAGTAATCCGATAATGGATTTGCACTACGTAAAAAGCTATGTCCATCATGAGTGGTGTGAGATTCTGATAAAAAGCAGAAAGATGTTCGAGCTCCATAACAAAATCATTGCCTCCAAAAATTTAAATTATGATGGGAAGTTCTCTGAGTAAAAGTTCTGACCTGTACTTCGCAATCATGAAAAAAGCAGTTCCTCTCACAAAAATTCGAGAAGGCATGACTTTTGTTACTAAGTTCTATTATCCATTACAACATTCTAGTCCTCCTTATTGAGGAGTCCGCAGAGAGCTTAAAAATTAAAAACTCCGTTCAAAGGATGGAATAAACGGAGAATAATGAAAAAGCCTGTCTTCTCTTTATGTAATGGCATCCACTGATTAATCTAACTCCCAACATTTGATGAATATACGGCTATACTTTGCAAATACCTCTTTTTATGGATATGGCTCAACCCACATATAACAAATGCAACGAAGTTAAGTACTTCAAGTCAAATCATGAGACAAAACCTTACCTGGTCATGTCAAATGTACTTGAACTGCGAGATGAGACAGATGGGAGAAGGTAAATGTCGTCCGAGCCGTCCACAACAGCCTATAAACAGATTTGAGTAGCTCATTCACGTTTATTGATTTTGGGCCAACTAGTGCACTTGTAAATCTTCTAGCACGAAAACAGGATGACCTTGCATGTCACTGTAAACATTATGAAGCTCAAGCTTATGGAGCCTACCGCCGAAAATGCTTGCATATGGATTTTTTCTTGTGCAGTTATGCAGTCGATGAACATAATTCCAAGATTCAAATAAAGAAGAAAGTTAGCAGGAAGTGGTCAAAAATTTTGATGCTGTATGAAAACCTACCAAAAACTATGAGCTTTTGTTTCCTTAAAATTTGACCGAATTTTCCCGAAATGAATCGCTCCCTCAAAATTTGAACTAGTCTTTTCCAAAACGATTTGCTACTTATTTATGATTATAAATCCCTATGCATGGAGATTGACTGGTAAACAACGCTAATGAGAATCTGCAGATTTTACTAAACATAAGAGCACATCCTGTTTTCACATCCCGCAGTATCTTTTGCATGCGGTGAATCGAATTCATGAAGTCATAATTCGTCAAGATTTATTATAGGAAATGCTGGCCTTTTTATGAAGAAAAATGCATACTGCGCGCGTTGATGCGTAAAAATCTATTGTGAAGCTCTTTGCGTCTCAACTCTACCGTACATGTTATTTAAAAATTTTCGACAAACAAACGAAATGATGAGAAGACAGAATTATGAGCCACAGCTGTTCATTGATATAACTAAATTAAATGAAAGAAGTAGCAAACAATTGATGTTCCACCAAATATCGATGAGGGAGTATTCAGAAAATGATGCGCATCTCCTGATTAGCAAGATCAAAGCGCTTCAACCCCTTTGATTCTCTGTGTCTACTTAATCTACTATAGCAGCAAATTCACTTCAATTCTCTACAGTAGCCGTATTATCGCATTTTATGCAGCTAAAATCGTGATTCAATCGTCTTTGAGAATTCAAATGTGCTCCGACCTTCCATATTTCCTTTAAAGGATTCCGCATGCTTACAAGGAAAAGGCCAGCAGTTGAAATGGCCACTCCAAGCAGGCTGCCTATGTTCGATGCAGCATTCAACGCTAATTTCGAATCCGTATTTTATATCTGCTTAACGCCTTTGTGGACGAAGTGTCGCACCTTCAGCTCACCTTTAGGCTTTAAGAATATAAAGTAACCTAGCTGCATGTTTTGGCCCACCATAAAGCCGAATATGCCATGCGCATTGCGTGCACAATTTCTCAGCAAAATAACGGTCTCTAACGGCTCTTAACTTCGCCCACATAAGCGCTAAGCAGATGAAATAAAGATTCGAGGTCAGTGTTTTATGCTGCATCGGATGGTATGCAGCTTATTTCGATTGGCAGCTACGATTTCTGACTTCGTTGTTAGTTTAGCGATCACCTTGAGGAACAACTAGATGGTGATATTCATGAAAAGACTCTCACACGCCTGATTAACGATTTGTTAAGCTTCACCACCAAACATGCCTCAGAATGCCAGCCGATAACCTTACGCTCACTTGCACACTTCATGTCCAAAAATGTGGCAAAATGTGGATTTCTGACACCAACTGTAATGAGCTTGACAAGCCTAGAACCACAAATGCCCCATAATCAAGTATCTGCAAAGTCATGCATTCACAGGAAAAGCTTCAAATTCGATAGATTAAACCTCCCAAAACGCGTACAAAACGAAGTTGCACTACATCGTCGTATGCGATCTATCTAATGTGATATATATAAAAAATCGTTAGCACATTTCAAAAATCTGCAAACAGCGGGAAACCCGCTACGGGCACCTTTAGATTACTGGTTCACCAGTCAATAAAAAAACTTACCTCAGAATCAACCATGAGTGGAAGTAGCCGACTGGCTTCGTCAGCCTCTTCTTGGCAAGTTGCCAATCGGCTGTAGCGCATACACCACACAAACCCACCTCACTCCAACACCCGGTTGAAAGCGAGAACTGAAAGACATACATGTTTAGAAAATGATTTTGCACAGGAAATGATAGAGAAAAAAGAGATAATACCAATGTGAGATACGTCACACCTGTAGAGACTATTTGTGCACTAGATAATGATTGTTATATGAAAACTAGACCAATGAAAAGGTCATCCATAGTTAGAGCGCAATAAAACAAGTGTGAGTCAATAAAGAACAGATGAGGCCAGATTTCGCAAATTAGGATCTCCCCACTTTGTGGCACAGAAAAATGAACCCCTGACGAAAGTTAGAGTGATTCATTTCCACTTACTTTTGTTGTTCGATGTGCTCCGCTAGCTACGTCGTTGTTATATATTTGAATTAAAAATCTATCGCAAAAGTCACCAGAATTCTCCCTGAATGAACCTAATCAAGGCCGAACCATCTAACGCATAAATAGTCACAAACAGCTTTTGAACAAGATAATATGCTGGAAAGTGCTATAACTTTTAATATTTCCTAGCAAAAGGAGAAGGCAGTGGATCAAAAGGAAGCAAATGCAGCTCGTGACAAGAGCAATTTCTGGATGTTGAATCATTGGAGGATTAGGCGTGGGGATTGCAGCCGACATGACAGTCGGTCTGCAGTCACGAACAACGCGTTGGGAGAGGCAAGTTGCTGACGCCTATTTCATTCCGTCATTTGGCTCTTGCAGATTTATCCTCTAATCCCGCAGTTTCATCCTAGGAAGTTCCTTGTGCTGAATTAACTTCGCCTTACAATGTCTTTTCTTGTTTTCTGGCAAGGTTTAAGACTTTTTTCTTGCATGAAAGTGGTTGAGCTATTGTCGCTTTTGGCGTCATTTGCTTGAGAGGGGCAACTGGAAACTTCGTAGTAGGGAACTGTAAATTTAGGGTTTACATAGATTCTAGGGCTTAACTGACTATGGCTCAATTTGAAATGAAAAGAGGGCTTATTCAGAGCTTAGTAATGTCCAGAAAACTTCGATGCGAACAAGACTTGTGCGGTAAAATGCGGTGAACGGTGATTATAGTCATTGTTTGTTTAGCACAGTCTCTCAATCAATAACAATGTCGTTATCGTGTTCAAAAATACTTGATTGCTTGATTGAGTGGCAAGGTGTTAGTCATCATTCTCAGGAAAACCTTTCTTTGATTTGTACTCACTCACTCACGTGACCGATTGGTTGTCATAGGTAGCTACTACTGTAGCAAAACTGACAGGTTTTTTCAACTTTCATGCACTTTTGCGTAATTTCTTGCTTGTCCTTGGTTTCGGAGCGGAAGAGTATCCCAAGGACTTTTTTAGAGCTAATTAGCTAGTCTCGCACACTCATGCAAAATTATTTCTGTTATTTGCCTAATTTTGTTGCACAAGCAACCTACTTAAATATCTAATTTTACTATTTTTTGGCCATGCAGAATTGCAAAGAGTGCACACATTACAGTTAGCAGTTTCTGAATTGCTTCTTTCAGATTGGGAAATTAATAGTTATATATTCCAACTTTATGGTCTTATGGAACTTAACAATTTTTGACAAACCAAGTTGTCAGATTTAAAGTTATACTATAGAAAAACAGCATAAATTATGGATATTAGATCTATTTTTTGGATGCACGGAAAGAAAACAGTATTTATCCTTTTCGAACTCAATATTATACAGAAAACCCGAAAACGTTTTACTTGAAGATGACGAGCTGTCCTCTGCGTTCCAGAAGGAACAGCTCAACTTACCGGCTCAAGAGATTCGTACCTCTAACCCCAGTGTTTTGTTTAGGGCTTATAAAATGTATATACGCCCTATTTTTCAATTCGGCACTGCCACTTACTTCACCGTATAGGGTCCGTGATATTGCCGCCAGTGAAGGCGTTCAAAATAACTTCACTCGAAAGCTATTTTTGAGAGTCCTGGATCCAAATTATTCTCTTATACCTGCGAGTCAAGAACGTTCTAAATCGCTGTCGCTTCGTAGCTTAGCACTCCGAAGGAGAAATTTCGACCTCTCGATGGGTGTCAAAATTTTGACTGAGAGATGTAAGACTGATTTGTCAAAGTTTTTTGATGTTTATTACTCTAGAACGAGAGATGGAGTGTTGAAACTCAGAGCCCTAAAAGCTAAAACACTTTTGAGAGCAAAGTTTTCTGCTTCAAGAATTTTGCCTGACCTAAATAAGTTATTGACACAAGACACTCTTCAAAACTTCTTGGTTCATCACCTTACAAGTCATCCTACTTCCTGTTCATTGATATTTTGTATAGTTGGTCAGCATTTTATGTTCCTATTTGTTTTGTTGTTTTCCTGTTCTTGTTGTTCTTACTGTTATTCTTCTTTCCTCAATTTTCTACCCCTATCCGTCGGTCTCTTGCCTTGCAGGTTATTCCTGTTCTTTCATTTACTTACGTGTTCTTGCACGTATCAATAAAGATAAAGATAAAGATCAAAGAAGATAGATTGAGCTGCAAGTTTTGGTCTCTCCGGAAATCATTTCATATCAAGATATACCATCTTTCATGAAAATTCCGTGTTATTCCTTTTCTTAGTCAGAGTTTCATTTCTGGGTCTTCTCCGGGACTTTCCGGTAGGGCGAGGGGTTTAAGATTTTTTTCAAACAAAATTATCTAAAGAAAAGTGTAAAACACATCTTTTGTTAAATCTTCTTTCCGTACGGTTCGATGTTTTGTAAGTTAAGAATGAAGTTGTTCATTTTTTAATGTGATTTCATTTATGGAATTCTATATCATTTCTTTGTAAATTCAATGTGGAATGTTCATTTTCTTCACAATTAGTTTACGTTCATAACTTTGAAGCTGAAGTTTCTATATCAAAATCTCCCTCTGATCTCTCCAATCACGTTCGTATTAGCTTTCGATGTGTCGATCTCTCTGTTCATTCGTGCGCATTCCCGAGCGCATTTCGGCACGCTCGTTGTAGAATTAACGAATTATCCAGCCACATTGCGCATTGCACCCGCATGCACCCCCGAAATTAGCGTAGGGTGCTTCGGCTTTACGTTCTCCCTCTTCGACCCTTTTAGAGTCTCTCATCTACCTCTGTGGGAATACGGGGCAACTTTTAGTTGAGACACTTGCCAAACAGCTAGTAGGCACATCGATTTGCGCGCTTGCGTGTCCGAGTGGCTGTCTCTGCTTCGCGGAACGTCGATAAATCCATAGCATCTCCGTCTCCGCCTTTTCGATGTTTTCTTCGAGCTTTTCGTTTTGCGCGAAGGATTAGAGGTACAGAGCTAGCTAAAGCGAAGCGCTGTCCGCATTGCCATCCATCGGGCCCTTTATGCTCTTTTTAAGGCCGCGTTTATGAATCATTATCCTACTTTATTATCTGCGATCCGTGTTTCCGAGTCGCGAAATTGCTGGTTTGTTTCTATTCGTGACAGATAAGGCTAATCACTTCCTATTCCAGATAAAGGCGTTTGATCGATAAACATGCAAACTATCGAGAAAGCTCTTCATCAGCCTATGCCTTTTACCACCGGCGGGCAAACCATCTCAGATAGGTGTGTCATGTTTTATCAGTTGCTTTTCATGATTAATTTTTTCTATACCAATCTTCCCATTGCTTATCTTCATTATTTCCTTTCGCTGTGTCTCAAAATTCTGCCCGTAACCATGTTCTTCCGGTAAGATTTCGCTCATTTATACAATTTATTCGATTTGTATCATAAAGGCATCCAACATTGCCTTTTTTTGAATTTCTTTTTCTTTGATCCATAAGGCGGAGTTCACCTCATTTTAGCATGTTTGCTCACATTAAAAGTGCGGTCGAGCTTTCTTAAGGGAAAGGCAATAATTTATGTAGATGTGTTGCGGAGTCTTAGTTTATTAACTGCCTTGTTTGTCAAGCCATCCATAAAAATAGCCACTTCATCGCTTGTTATATGGTCGCGTTTACACAGATGATAAACACAAGCAGTATCAGGTTATGTTTATGTTTTCAACTTCGATATGATGTACGAAAATTGCGCGCTTGATTAGGCAATTGTGTTTCAGCTTTTTTCTCACTTTTTTTATAATGCTGATAAATGAAGTCACCTCGAAATTGCTATCAACGTGCTTCAGGACTACATAATGCAACCACTCAGGTAGGCATTATGAAACATAGTTATTACATAATGCTTACCTGAGTGGTTATATTATGTGTCCTCCTGCAGTTTTCTTAGCTATATCTTTTCTTTGGATGATTTGGTCTGATCATAAGCCATTTATGACTTCACTTGATATGGGTTATCGAAACTAAAGGGTTATCATATTCTTGACCTTCTGGGTTTTGGAAAATCTGGCTTCTCCTAACTTGCCATAATGCTCTCAAAAGTAGGATAATGAACTTTCTTTGCGGTCATCAACGTCAGCGTTAGCCTATTAGACTTTTCAACGAAGCGAGTGATCATCAATCTTGACTTTCAGTTTTTTCGATGAATGGTGTTGAGCGCGCTTTTCGATAACTCGATTTTCTTTTTCATTTGCCGGTCATATTTGATTTATAATGCACTTAGTGTATGTGTGCACAATGCGCTTGTTTGAGCAATCACTTTTAGAAACGTCAGGTATCTCCCTCTGTGTTTCAAGGCCTGAATGCTGTTGGAAGCTTGATTTTATCCAATGTCTTTTAGGCTAACAGCAGCTAAACACTCATTAGCTGGTAGTCAACTTGGGAAAACAATATGCAAGGCAACTACGGAAGAGTTGATGGCTCCAAAAAAGAAGCATCTCGACTGTAAGTTTTTTCAACCCAATTCCGTTTTTTTCCTTCATGATTCTATTTGCTTATTGCTATGTAGAGAAGAATTTTTTTGTTGAACGGATGTGCATCTTGCCAAATGCTGGAAATCCGATCACAAGCTAGAGCTTCTGTGTTCTAAAGCTGGGTGCAATCTGTGCGGTTCATAAATTTGAATTTGCTTCTGCGCACATTGTTGAGATCGTTTTGCATTTTGATGCGCAGCATCTCATGCATTTACGAGAGAGATTCTAGATTGTTTTCAAATTTTCAAAACTCATTTTAGAAAATGAGACTTCAGGCAGACTTGTTTCTCAGCTCATTGAATTATCTCGCTGTTGTTGCATGCTAATCTACTTCTTGGTACTCCTTTTCCTGTACTTTCTGCATGAAAAACCTTAACCAGCTCTAATGAAATTACCTCCTGACTAATGAATTCTATTCCTCTTGCATTAGTGGATTTCGTTTTTTTGTTTGCTACCTTCAAGCAAGGTTTATTGCTTCTTCAACTAGTATATTTGAACTTCTTGTTTAGTATGTACAAGCACCGCAAATTGCTCATCAAACTTTCCGCTTCAAATTTGCTTTACTAGTGAGAAATCTTTTATTGATGGAAGTTCCATATCACTGTTGCGATGCGTCCCTCGTAACTAATAGCTGTTGTTGTTTTCGAGTCCATTTTGATTGATAGCCTTGTTTGAGATCATCATTCATCGCCACATCGCAGAAATGTGAAAGTCTACTGGGGAAAAGAATTGGGAAAAAGAATGTTGTACTCTAGGTGTGAAGATTGTGATAATTCTGAGCGATAGGCGGTCAAGATGATGTCCTATCCAGCTGCAATATCTATTTTTGTCTCTTCTAAAAATTCCCATAGCTTTGCGTATTCAGCGAGCAATCTTCTGCTGCTCATATCCGCTTATGCGATTCCAGATTTGCTGCATTGCACGAACGAACCGAATGTGTCAATACCTTCTATGGCAAATTTGCTGATAGAACGAACTCAGCATCCAAATTGGACCGTAGTCTACAAAGCACTAATCACAATTCACAACATCATGTGCTATGGAAACGAGGTTAGCACAAATATAATGGACTAAGGTTGACTAGTGATATTCTTTTTAGAGGTTTTCACAATATCTAGCTTCATGTAATACAACATTCAACCTCGGAAACTTTCTTGACAAGAATAGTACTTCAGGTAAGTCTACACTTGCGTAGATTTTCATTGCTATTAAGCTGCTCTGAGAAACTAGTTTTCGGTGTTAGTTATCAGTTGAAAAAAAAAGCTTGTGTGTGACTCTTGGTGCAATTTTCCTTTCAGGATATGATATGTCACAGCATGTAAGAAAATATGGCAAGTACATTGGTGAAAAAATCGCCACCTATCGAGTTTGCGCATTCGACTTCTGTAAAGTGAAGCGAGGAAGAGAAGATGGTCTACTGCGGACCATGCATACCGATAAGGTAGAGGGTCGTCACTTACTCAAAAAAGTGGTTATTGAAATTCACTCAAATATTCCAGCTTCTCAAGACTCTGCCTATTCTCCAGAATCAGATAGATGCACTTCTTGAGTTCCAGGCAAGTGATTTCCAATTTTAGAACCTTATCGTTTTACACTATACGGAGCTTTCCTTTGTCTCAAAAATACTTAAGTTGCTTGTCCCATCATTGACGATTTTTTTTGCTCCAAAGAATTTGTGCACTCCATGATTTTTTTCATTTCGAGAGGGCGAATCGTTGCTGAAACTTTTTCGTTCGTTACAGTCACGTTTCTTGATGGAAGCAGCGTTGTAATTTTATCCTGTGGAATCTTTTTGCACTTGGTACACAGCACTCATGAATACTGCAAACATGTTTTTGTTTTATTCAGGTTTCCGCTAGCGAGTTGAATAATGGTGTTATCAATTGCTCGTTCATTCTACTGTTTCGTGATCTCATTCGACTTTTTGCTTGCTATAATGATGGGATCATAAATCTGCTAGAGAAATACTTTGACATGAACAAGAAGCAGTGTCGTGATGCGCTCGACACATACAAAGGATTTTTGGTAAGTCATGTCTAGATATTAGAACAGATAATGAAGGAAGTAAGTCGTTTTTACAAAGCCTTTTTTGTGCCATATGACGTCATTATCGCGATTTTCTTATCAGAAACTGCTAGTCTATCTCATGGGGAACTCAAATTACAAATCACAAAGTCGATTTGAACAACGCTTAGCGCTATTTTTATCCGAATCAAAGCGATCTGGCCGCTTGTGGCTCAGTTCTCATATCGACATTCTTGACGTAGTAAGCGGGTGTTGTTATTGCAGACTCGCTTGGACAAAGTATCGGAATTCTTGCGCGTAGCTGAATCAGTTGGAATAGATCGAGGGGAGATTCCCGATTTGACGAGAGCACCAGCTAGTTTGCTAGAAGCGCTGGAGGCCCATCTCATCCATTTAGAAGGCGGAAGAGCTCCAGTGCAATCTCAGGTATATCGTGCCTATTCTTGAATAATTTGGAGATTTATCGAATCGTTTTGAGTACCCATCTGCCCAAGCCCAACTGAGCAATTTCTCGATGGCTGGTGGATTTCAAATGCAGCCGCATGTTGGTGATGTGGAGCGGATGAGGTATATTGAGTTGGAGAAGGAGAGGCTGCGGCAATTTGAAGAACAAAAACGTCAACAAGGGTCTGTCGGTGAGTTTTATTGGATTTTTTTCTTATACCCATTCTTTCTCGACTTGTCTATTGTTAGTTTGATGTCTCTAAGACTAACCGTATGCTTTGTGGTGTAAGACGATGCTTCCAAAAAACTTTGCCATGGTGACGTGCATATTAGCTCACTATGAGCGACCACACGTTATTTGACTCGCAAGCAGCGTGACTTGAATTGTTTCCGATATTGCATCCCAGCTGATGATGTCATTGTCCTTCCATGCGTCTAGTGCAGATCTTGAATATAGTCATACACTCCCACGCTTCACCCTTTAATATACATTTTTTGCAGGCAGCTCGTCCTCGGCTGCAACCTCCAGCTTTAATCCGTTTGCGGCTGATGCATCATCCAACTCGGAGGTTCCTAAAAAAACAAATGAGGATTTGCTTGATCTGTTCAACACACCTGCCCAGGCTAGTCTGTCTCCCAAAGTTTTGAAGTAGTTTAGTAATCTATCTATCTATTGAATACGGTCCGAAACAGAGTTGTCTCAGCTATCATGAACATCAAGCAAAGTTCTTTCTATATTTGTTGTTGTGATTTTTACCGTGTTGCACTTTTCCCGGTTTCAGAAACCGTTTGTTAGCTATTTCATTCAATTTTGGCACTTTGCATGCATCTTGTGAAGGGAGGGTCACTATGAGATATTTCATGAGATTGTACTACTGTTGTGTTGTTTCTTTGCCAAATTTTTTTGAGTATCCCTTGCATACACCTTTCAGCTTTGTTTTGTTGAG